AGGTGAGGGGAGGGCGGCGCCGCCTCAGCCTTCCCCGACTCGGGGATACCGCCAGGCCCGTCTTGCTGCTCCAGCCCCAGCGGGCCGAGGGGAGGGCGGCAGGTTTTGTGGTGAAATGGGACTTTGTGGCCCAAAACGCCGCCGAGGGGCAGGGTGAGCTTGTGGTTCTGGTCCCCCTGGTGTCGTGTAATGAGGGGCCCCGTGTGTCTTGTGCCAGTGGGCAGCCGGGGGGAGAGGGAATAGCACGTGGTGGTTGTGCCGGGTCCTGCACTTGGGTTACAACAACCCCATGCAGCACTACAGGCTTGGGGAAGAGTGGCTGGAACGCTGCCTGGTGGAAAAGCACCTGGGGGTGTTGGTTGACAGCCTGCTGGGTATGAGCCAGCAGTGTGCCCAGGTGGCCAAGAAGGCCAATGGCATCCTGGCCTGTATAGTGTGGTGAGCAGGGGTAATTGTTCCCCTGTACTCAGCGCTGGTGATGCCTCACCTTGAGTACTGTGTTCCGTTTTGGGCCCCTCACTACAAGAAGGACATTGAGGTGCTGGAGCGTGTCCAAAGAAAGGCAACAAAGCTGGTCTGCAGCACAGGTCTTATGAGGAGAGGCTGAGGGAACTGGGGTTGTTTAGCCTGGAGAAGAGGAAGCTGAGGGGAGACCTTATTGCTCTCTACAACTCCCTGAAAGGAGGTTGTAGAGAGGTGGGGGTCAATCTCTTCTCACTAGTAACAAGTGATAGGATGAGAGGAAACGGCTTCAAGTTATGCCAGGGGAGGTTTAGGGTGGATATTAGGAAAAATTTCTTCACAGAAAGGGTTGTTAAGCATTGGAGCAGGCTGTCCAGTGAAGTGCTGGAGTCACCATCCCTGGAGGGATGTCTACCTGTCTTTTAAATAGACAGGTAGACGTGGTGCTTAGGGACATGGTTTAGTGGTGGTTTTGGCAGTGTTAGGTTGATGGTTGGACTTGATGATCTTCAAGGTCCCTTCCAACCTAGACAATTCTATGATTCTGTGATTCTAAGTAAGGGTTCTTCACCCACTGTGCAAAAAAAAAAAAAAAAAAAAAAAAAAAAAAAACCAAAAAAAAAAAAACAACCCCCGTGTAAGAGAGTCAAGATGTTTGTCTTTATTTCAATTCTGCAGAATTGGGTGCCCAGCATTTCACAACAGCCAGCGTACCATACATTTCTGACAGTCTGATATTTATAGTGATAAGATACAGCTGATTGGTGAGCTGTGTTGTTCTTTTGCCATCCCTCATCATACGTACACATTCAAGTTAATATTTTAAACATTTTGGGAGATGCCCTTAATTAGCTTGCTCATTATTTACAAGAGGGTGTACATTTTAGTATTACAATCTCTCAGACACATTCTTATCTAGACTCCATTCCAAAGACTATACGTCTTGTCATCCTACACTTAGATCAGAGACCAGGAGCGTACTCCCTCCCTGGGCCTTGTTCACCTTCAGTAAGCTTTTGATATGGTAATCTTTCAACAATTCAATTTCTTTGATCTAAGTTTCGGTTAATTGTTTCTGCATCTAGTCCAGGTGGATGTACAAGGAGACAATGAAGTTTAATTGTTTTGACATCTAATCCAGGTGCAAAAGGCCCAATTAACTTTTAATTTCAGGAATTCAGCTAAAGCTCAGTCAAAGTTCTATTACAATTTTATACAAAGCACTTATGTAACTTTTTAGTCATATTCTTTTGACATCAGTGCTGTGTGTGCATCGTATCTTGTGACTAAACATATAAAAAAACTTTTTTTTTTTTTTTTCACTAGCTCTTAGCTGGATGTGTGCTACCAGAAGTTTATTAGTGCATCAAAAAATGACAAAACCAGTGCTTTCATCTTAGAGTTGGGCCCACAGTGCGAGCCACTTCGTGACACCAGCTGTGCCTCCCACGTAGACCAGGGCACTGCAGTGCCATTGCTGCTGAACAGATCCAACTTAAAACGCTTTCGGATAAAACTTGGAAAGCACATGCTCGCTGTCAACTGAACTACTCACTCCACCTGGGACCGGCAGATGAAATGCCGGCTCGTCTCTGGAACCAGGCTGCTGCAGCACTGGGAACTCCAGCAGATTGCATACCAGATAAGCAGGTTTTGACCTTTGTTACTTCTCAATACTTTCTAGTTTTGCTTTTTGGAGGCTTCGTACAGCTTGCTCACTAGTATTTAAATGTAAAGATAGGTAGGAAGGAAACTATAATAGTAATTTCCACTGCTGTGTTTTTTTCCTGAGCATAAAGTTTTTCCAAAAGTTAATAAAAATCTGTATCTTGATTTTACTTGATAATTAACATGGCACCTCCCCTTTCACCCCTGTTGACCTGGCACATTGCCAACTTAAATGAGAAGACATCACTGACTGCAGCAATACTGATTTGTTCAGAGTTTGGGAGACTAACGGAAATAACTATGCACTGCATTCTATATAATAAAATACAGAGAAACAAGTCTAAACACAAGACCTATGTGACAGCAGGGAAAACAAAGTCTTGTGGCCAGCTAGTAGTGTGGGAAGTGAAAGACCACGACAAAATAACAATACTTTAGAATAAGAACTAACATAGAAAACATTCATTTCATATTCATAAATAATTTTAAAGAGTGACTAAAACAGATGGAGGGTTGAAGAAATATTTGGTTGAAACCAAACTCAAGTGGTTTTCTTTGTTTCCAGTATTTTTAATTCCTAAACATGGTGACAGTGAAATTAAAATATTAATAGGGCCCTGAATAAAATGGTACCTTAAGTTAACAGATTTAGACAACAAAATTAGTTATGGCTAAAGTAATTTGAGCATATTCCCACATGCCCAGCTTTTCTTCTTTTAACACACTGGCGAGTTTTAGGTAAACGGATATTGAGAGGTGTTAAAATCCATACCTTCTTCAGGAAAAAAAACGACTGGGAAGAAAGAGGGTAAGAAAAATTATTTCTGTAGAAGAACTGTATTGATATTGCAGCCATATGCAGTATGACCCTCCCTGACATTCCTTTTGTAGAGTATAATCGCATAGAACAGATTATCTTATCTATCCACTGGGGAAGTCTGATAAGGACACATTAGCATAGACCTGACTAACCAGCTAACTCTGGTTTAGGCATCTATCTGCTTTCTCTTATCCAATGAACTTAACTTCTAACTTAAGCTAATGTTAACATATTCTTCCTCTACATGATTATATTTCAATTTCTGTAACATAGGGAGCAGGTTAAAAGAAATCCAGTGTATTTTACTTGTTAACTTTTTCCATTATTGTGGCAACTTTTGTGATCTGTGACTTACTGGTATAATGTCAGCAGTATCTTCCAACAGAAGTAGGATTACATCTACATAGTTTAGTCGTAAAGTTACTGGTGGGGAAAAAAAAAATAACCAGAAAGATAAAGGGGCAACTGTTTGTGTGGAAGGGTAGAGGGAAAAATGTAAAGAGATTGGGCAGACTTAACAAGTTTCTTAAAACATAAGGCATAAATCTTATTTAAGGCACAAACCTTTGTTACGTGAATTCTTTCTAGAGAAGGTTGAATGCAGTTGATAATGACATTTCATGGGTGCCATACTGTGGCGTTATAAGAATGTCTCTTAGGCTCAAGAATTAATCCATTTGGGAAGTTAAAAGCAGTGTCTTGAGAAAGTGATTTTATTAGCTGTGATTTATCTTATCAGACAAAAGAGAAATCATTGCAAGCTAATGTTCTTCTGTTTCTGAAACTTATTTGGGCTTGTAAAACATACCACCTTTAAACCAGTAAACTTGGATATTCTTCTCAATACTGGTGTAAGGGTGAAAACTATTCCTTTCAAGCAACCCAACGTTATAACCAAGAAAACTGAGTTTAATAAAACCAAAATCCTTTTTTATTGTCTGGTTCTACGTGAAGCCTACACCTAGTCTGAACAGAAGACTTAATTTTAAGCAATATTAAATAGCTGAAAACTAAGTGTTTTGCTTTCTCATGTAATAGGATCTTAAAAGTGTGTCACCTGTACTGCATAAGACAATACCTCTGTATCTTTCTACAGGTTGTTGGTGGCAGTTGTGAAAGACTTCAGTAAATAGGTTATTTGACTATTTTGATTCATCACAAAATTAGATAGTTTATTCTTCCTCTGCTAAACAAGGGAAAAACTTTTAAGAGGTAGTACTAACTCCACTGACTCGTGCTTTTGCACTATCAATTAGATGAGATACTCATTAAATTTTTCATCCATTTGTTACAATGAACATGTAGATTCTCAAATAAGAAAATAAAACACTAGACAGTAACTTTATAGAAAGATGCATATATATGCATGTAGCTCAAGTCAATACATATTGCGTCCATAACGTACATACATTTGAGTATTGATACATATGTAAGCGTTGTAGTTAGTGCAAATGCCCATATTTTACCTCAAATTTACTACTGGAAAAAAACAGTTCCAATAACCATACAAGGCGATTCTAACCGAAAGTAGCAACAGAGCTAAGTCAGAAAGTTACAGGTGTTGATACTTCAGTGACGAGCACATCTCTGATATGACACTTAGAATTTCTAGCCCGCTCACTTGTTCAATGGCTCCAGAAAATTCTTACACCATTCAAAGAAATACATTCCATAAGTGATGGAAGTGATACATATGCTTCATGAGTGGCTGAAATTATGTATTTTCATAAAGTTTCTATATTTGTGAAATAATAGCCTTCCATGATTCGGGGCGGGGCGGGGGGGAGGGACGGGACCAACTAATTTTTTTCCTTTATTGGCAAAACTCTATCTTCCTAAATAATGTTTCCTGTACCTTAAATAGTACTTTCCTCTTTAAATAGGTTGAGATTAAATAAAGTATCAGTATACCTTATGCATAACACATTTCAAAAAATAATATGAATCTTGACCATTTCTCTTTGATAAAGTGCAAAGATGAAAGATTGACTTTCTTTCAAATAAAAATAGCAAATATAATAGAAAAAAAGATAAATTCAGTTACACAGTATTAGTGCATCTTTTTCTTGGCTTTGCACTTCTTGTATTTTTGATCACGGTCTCTTTGCCTCATTTTGTCATCCTCGATACTAGTGTCACTGTCACAACTTTGCTGTTCTCTCTTTCTTTTAGAGGTCCTTTCATCCATCTGGTGCTCTTCACATTCACTTGATTGTGGCAGGGCCAATCCAAAAGAATTCTGTGCAGACTTAAAATTTGCAGCTTGATTCTGACAGGGAGAAAAGGAAAAATCTGAAGGCAGCGGTGGAGTCATCTGATAGTAAGGAAATTGCTGACCCATTGGACTCTGTACTGTGTACTGCTGGGCTAAAAAATGGTTCATCTAGAGAAACAGAAATGTGAGTTGTTAACACTGTAAAGAGGAAGTTCTGAAGAGTTTAATTTTGCATGCATTACAGCTTCTACAATGAAAATACTGATAAATTATAAAATAACATAACAGAACATTTGAGAATAAAGCTTATATATTTTATTTTATCAACTAGTATAGTCGGAAAAAGTAGACAATCTTTCATGGCAAAGTTAGAACAGAGACATAATCTGATTTAAGATTAAACTGCCAGTTAGTCTTTGTGTAAGGTCGTCAAACATGGCATTCCTTTCATTTCTTCTTCTATGTATTTTATAAACATTTGTAACTGCAGTGCCTACCGTTAATGTAAAGACATGCACATCTGCATTTTTTTTTAACCTCGTTTAACTAATTGTAACGTTAATGTGGAACAAGGCATTCCAACAAGGTATAGTGATTCCGTAGATCAAAGCCCTTGGAACAATGCAGTAAGTGCCCAGCTTATTGCTACAGTCCCTAAAGTATCCCAAGAGTGCCTCATACAAAACACACAGCCCAAGTACAGAAATAGAATTACAAAGGTCAGAAAAGAGTGGCTTTCTACTGACTGACAGTAACCAGAAAAACGATGGGGAGCATGTCTGAGTATGTTACATGTGCAGACAGACTCCAAATGAGTAACCTGCCTCGCTCACCCAAATAAAGGTGAGGCAGATGTGTGAAGGTGTACACGACTAGATCGCTTGCATCTGAAGCTGCACCAATCCATCACTGGAGACACGCTGCAATTATCATCCCTTCTAACAAGCAGAAGATGGGATGAAGTTAGTCCTGTGTGCTGGTCTGCTGAGTTCGGTCTCTCGGTGTTTACGTACTGCATTGTTACTGAGGAGTGGGTTGATTGGTGCGCACAGTGGGGGAGATGGTACGCTCCCAAAGCCTTCCAACCGCAGCGGAGGGGATTGGAAAGTCTGTGCGAGCACTAGCTCTTCTGAGGTCACAGCCTGGGAAGAGTGGAGGCAGGCCCCCACCACATCTGTGCAACAGGGAACAGACCCTCTCCATTTTCCTATTGTAGCTAGCAAGAGTAATCTAGCCAGACTTCACCCCTTCTACAGTTATAAAGGGCTGGCCATTCCCCAGTCAGACTGGGTGGCAGCAGTACTGTCCACAGTTGGTACCTCACATTAAATGCTGGGTTTCTTCAGCCCCATTGATGAGTCCATACTCATCAGATTCAGAAGATCCATGATGTGTTTGGTGATTAGGGTTTTGCCCACAGGTTGCCATCTGAAGAGACCAGTTCCCTTGCCTTGTGGAATATCTCAGGCAAAAGAGATGAGGACAAGAATGGCCTGGTGCGCAAGTCAGTTAGAGGGGAAGTGGAATGCAGGTTCTCACTATCTACTGCTGTGAACTCAATCATGAACGTGAGAGCTGCAGGGGCACAAAAAGCTTCAGGCCAGAAACCCTCAAACTGTTGTTGCCCTAACTTGGTTAGCGCTGATTTGTTGGGCGAGTTTTAGGTTTGGTTTCAGGACATTGCAAACTTCTGCTGGGCATTTCTGAATTGAGTAGAAGAGCTAAGAGGTTCCCTGACTGAATTAGCTGTATATGAAGAAGCTATTGCTTGCATGATTGTTATTTTACTAGGTTAGTTTGTCTCACCAAGGGGATTTGATTTGGAACACAATACAGGAAAGAGCTCCATCTGCACACTGACATTTCTGGTCTCCCTAAGCCTCCCCACCTTTAAGACACTCCTGCAGTAAGAAAATAGTTTGATTTGGTAGATCTCCTGTTACAGTACCGTTAAGTGCTAAAATAAACAGATCTAATACAGTCAAAGTTACCAGCCTAAACCCCATTTTGAGACATTAAAAAAGCGCTGTTGTTTGCAGAAATACACAACATCTTCAACTTCATAAGAGGTCCCAAATTTTTAACTTTTAACACAAACTCACCATCTTTTGAAAGGCTGAGTATTCAGGAGGTAAACTATTGTTCATTGGAAAAGGAGCAACAGGACATGGAGGATTTCCATAAGGCTCTTGACACCTAGGAAAAACAAGGAAACGTACAAAGACTAGACATCCACCAAATACTGCTTACCAGAGCGCTGAAACTTAACTCTTGGGCTATAATGAGTATGTCCATGAAGAGAATTGAGATGTTAACAACTGGACTTCCATGGAAAAAAAAAAAAAAAAGATAAATCAAGGAAATACACTCCAAGGTTCAATTAATGTGTAATCCTCACATGTACTTAAGCTCAGATGCAAAAGAGTTCTGAATTTCACCATGGGAGCTTAGCTTCCACAGAGGGTTCTGTCCCATTTGTACATAAAAGTGTTGAAACATTGAAAAATACTGAATCTGGGGTGTTCAGACTTCCATTATAACAGGTTTATACCTGTGCATTCATATGTGTGTGACAGTTGCTTGTACATACACACAAAGAATACAGATATAAACTCAGTGGGGTTTAAAAAGATTATCTCCATTGCCAGATTTTTTTCCCCTAACATCTGCAAACATTGCTAGTACAAACACCATAGTTCAATATTTTCTCGTGGTCCTGTATCTTGCAGAAACAAATACAAAAATGGAAAATTCGAGCTAACTGAACCTCTGGCAAGCTAAACAATGAAATGTTAAAATTAACTAGAGCTTCCTACAAGTCATCAGTAAGGATGCAATTAAAGCATGCAACAGCTGTTTTAATAAATGCCTAGAGATGGCTCTACCACATCTACTAATTTTCTTAATAAGATTTTTTTTTTTAATTATAATCATACAGTTCATTCACAGGTAATCTTTGTTACCTATATGAAGGTGAATAAAAGTCAATATAGTTCTCAAAACCATGTGTAGGGCTGTTTAGTTCTGATGAGTGAGAACTCCCTGTAAATAAGAGAAAAGCATAATGACTATTCAGTTACAACTACTCAATTAACACAGAAACTGTTCTGTGTCATCTGTAGTGTGCTAGTATTTCTAAGCTAGTATATAAAGGTAAGGTACCATTTTATGGCAGATAATCTACAGCATCATTTTACTGCTTGAAAACATTCATGTATCATTTATTCACTTATGGAAGCATAAATCAGGGCTGAAGTAATCAAGAACATAATTATTCCCATTCAGTTACAGACACAGGAGATGCTTCTGATTTTAGGAACCTCAGTCATTCTATTTAACTGCTCTGTACAGCCTTTGAAGGACGGACTGGCACAGTGCATAGTGGGAATGTGAGTCCTTAATGCTGGGGTTGTAAATGCTGCCTGATCATTAGCTTTCTAGGTTTATTTTCATAAACATAAAATGAAGAATGTGACTCTGATTTGACTATATTTTTTGAACTACAATCCTGTCCACTTAAAAGCAAAGCTCTGGTAACTCTGTGGGTTTAGTATAAAAACTATCAAAAGAGCTTGACAGTTGCTGCACTTACTGAATCAACATTTCCTGCCAGATTGCAAGTTAAAGTCACACCCCAATTCCTAAATGTAATCTGGCATAAGAACCTGTGCTGCTGTTTTCCATAGTGTGGTCTGAGCCAGCTTGCAAGTTATGCTGTTCTGAACCAACCTACTGTATTTTCTTAGTAAACAACAAATTCAAAGACTGAATCCTTCCCTATGCAAAAGCCACAAGGAGTTTTTGTTTCCTAGAAAGAATGGACTGTAATTTGTTCAACTATAAATCATCTTTGTAAAAGACTGTATGACTCAAAATTAGTAATTAAAAAAAATTACAAAGCGTTAATCGTTGAGACTACTAAACGTACCAAACCGATACTGCACTTTAATTGGTCTTCCGTACAAACGGATTCCATTCAGCAAAGCTATTGCATAAGGCACCGATTCTTTGTGTTTAAAGCAGACAAATCCAAAAGACTTAGGTTTTCCTTCTTTGTCCTTACAAATCGTCACTTTGGTTAATGGTCCAGCCTGAAAGAAATTTGTATTATTTTCTCACAGAAATTAAGAGATTGACTCTTCATTCTGAATATATATTTCATAATGATGTATATTTTGCCATAGTTGGACATTGTGCAAGTTTCTCAGTATATGAATCTCTACTAAATTTTGAAAACGTGTCTCCACATTCTCCAAGCTCAAATTCTGAGCCTTCTACAAACAAAAAACAGCTCCACAAATGTTACAAAGGAACCAAGCATCAGTCCATGGGTGAAGGTCTTTAATAACCAGAGGCTTTGATTATTTTTAAAATATAATGATGACAGCTGCAAGGGGGAAGACTATTTACTGATTCCATAGCAAAAGTTATCTTATGTGTGTACAGCTGCTAGTACAATTATAACTAAGCAAATTGATAGAATCTGCTATGTAAAAGTGACCTACTGCATTAATCTGCTTCTATTTTAGTCTTGCTTAAATTCATAAAATGGGCAACATCCAACACTGCAGAAAAGCAAACCTGAATAGAAAGTAGTGCTTCTGGAACCACCACAAGACAGTTTTCTGTACTGCCTACCCCTCATCACAACTGCACAGCAAGGAATCAAGAGACCCTATCATCTCATCAGAGACAACATACTGTTTCTGCCCCCTCCTACCCACTCCCCCCCAAAAAAAACCCAAACCATCAAAACCCCACCAACAAAACAAAACCCCAAAACACACCCTTTGGCTGAAATATCTTTATTGAAAAGTTCCATCTCTGCCTACACATACCATTTTAATCCTTGCATAGTACTTCTAGAAACAAATTAAAGCAGTGATATTCCATAAATACTGGCTCCATTTTCAAAGAAACTGTCATTTTCATAATAGATATCAAAGATGATTAATCTTCTCGACACAAGACTGAATCAGTATATTAGTCACTGAATTAACAGTTTCTCATCAAAACAAACCATGCATCTGTACGGCTGATTTAGGAGAAGGAAAAGAAATGGCCAACACCAATCTCCTGCCACAGCTCAGGAGTGTTAAGGATGCAACAACTTAACTTTAGGAGGATAAAATATCCACATAAGCAATGAAGTGAACATAAGTTACAAAAAAATCCATCAGTAAAAAAAAAATAATCCTGAATGTCTAAATTACTGTAGTAGATGGAGAATTCATTCTTCTGAACCAAAACCCAGCACTCATCAGTAGAACTGTCTTCCACTACTACTAGTGACACAATACATACTTTTCAGTAAAAGTCACTTAAAAGTCATCTATAGCTTCAGGCAAACACAAGTTTACTTGTAACAGCTTTACAGCAATTAAACTGCATAAACAGTTAAACATTCAGAATAAACACACAGCATATGCTCAGATGAAGAAAATAAGCCAAAGAAAGTAATTTCCTTTATTATTCTGCATTTTCAATGATTACTGTCAAGCAACAAATCTGCAATCTGTCTGCTGTGAGCATTTAGAGTGATGATGTGGAGCCATCTCCCTTATTATACCCTCCATGTTGTCAGACCGAAGATATTAAGGATTGTCATCTGTGATAATAATGTCTGATTTCTGTATGCTTTTGCCAGCTGTGTATAAACTACTTACCTTAAATAACATGCTTTTGCTGCAAAATGAAACACCCCCACCCCCAATGAAAGTAGGGAAATCATACAGACAAAAACAAAGGATCGAAAATAATGTACTATTTTTTATTATTGATGCAGAAGGTGATCAGGCTATGCAGCAATGGATACTACCTAGGTTGTCCTGTGCAGGGAATCTTCAAAACCTTGATCTCGTCTTTCCAAATATCTTGAAGTATGATGGGGTTTTTTGTTTGGGTTTTTTGGGGGGTTGTTTTTTGTTGTTGTTTTGGTTTGTCTGTTTGTTTTTAAAGAAGGGATTCAGTAAGATTCTGAACATGTTTATTTTTCTTGAGTCAGCTCCTTAAGGCATTTCTGTTGTTGTTGTGCACTACATTGCAGCTTTTAAGAAAATTACATATATCCAGTCTTCTGATTATTATTATTTGCCTAACAAGGAGGATCTGGTTCTTCAAGAACTAGACGAAACAAACTCAAGTCCTTTGCAGATCAGTTTTAAATATGTAGTCTTCCTGTTCATAAATAAAAATAATAGTTTAGAATAATAGATACTTGCTCATAATTTGATGGGGGGAAAGCTACAGGTCAGGAGTGCATCTTTAGGATCATGCCACACTGGGAATATTGAACTGTATAGTTTCCAAGAAAGGACAATAATGCAATGAGAAGCATATGCTGTTGCAGCAAAAGACAGAGGAACCTGAGTGAGAACAAGATGAAGACACGAAAAAAAAGATTAAGTAGGTGTTATTGAGATGACCTAAAGATCCAGACAAAAGTCAGCAGTGGGATGACTGCTGCAGATTATGCAGAAGAGTCATGCAAAACTGCATTCTGAGAGCATCCACTTATTTTTATCACTTTTGTACCAGAGTTTGTATGGTATTACTCATGTCCCCTGGTAAGGCAAGCTTTCTTAACCTAGCATTTACAGTTAAACAGCAGAGTACTGTTTAGTATTGGAAACAGGTAGGAGTACTGCATAGAAAGTAAGGAAAAAAATTGAAGAAACAACTTTTTCTTAGCTAATTTTAGGGAAAAGTTAAAACCTGAAAGTTAGGAAGAGATGGAAACAGCTAAAAACCCAAAGGGCTAGAATATACCAATCAAAAAGGCCTTTCAATGCGAATGGGGTAGCATGCTGAGGTCTTGCCTAGTTAACAAGACAAGTACCAGATTAATCAGTGGAATAAAACTGGTGAGTAGAAATAGTTCTGATTAGCAAATGAAATAGCAAGAGAACAGACAATTCTGCCCACCTCTTTTTTTGCACTCTTTATTTTGCAAACATACCAGAAGGAAGCAAGGTTCATTCTGAGACTGGGGGCAATTAGAAGACTGAAAGAAGCAAGTTTATCACCAAGCTGTCATCTGAACTGTCCAGTCAGCGCCTTGGGCCTTTTAGCTTGACAGAGCTGGACCATGCCAGGAGGAAAAAAATAAACCAAACAAAACCACGAAACAAACACACCGTAAACAAATTCAGGAAAAGCCCCTCATCAGCAACTACTGTCAACCCATCTTGAAATTTGACGCTTACATTAGCTGTATAATGCTCCCTCCGCTCCATATCCTCCCCCCTCTTCTCCTTACTACTTTCAGGTTAACAAGCCTGGCGTAGCCAGAGATGGTGTCAATGTGGGATCAAAACTGAAGCCAAGTCAGTGTCTTAACATTTTCTGTCTTTGCTGTTTGCTTCCCTCCTTGGCATACCTTATTTCCAAAGGTTTGAAACAGGTCCAGCTATTTAGTATGTTCCCACCACCTCCCTGAAAATCCCACCGATGGAATTTTTAGTATCTTTTCAAGCATTAAAACATTTTGATATAAAGGTCATTTACAGGTGGAAGTCCAGAACCCCACCTGCTGACCATTCCTATTGCCTCTCGCATTCTGTTAATAGTTCCAGCCTTGCTCAACATATTTTCAGGTTTTGCACTCATTATCATTAATCAAGTAATTGATCAAAAAATTTATTGCTCAGATTAAAAAAAAAAAAAAAAGTGTAAAGAAGATTTTTCCATGCGGATTTTTAGAACATCTTTAAACCACTTAACTCCCTCACTAACACGGGGCCCATCTGTGGCCCCAACACTTGCACAACCGGGAGGAGATAAAGCCGAGGGAGACGGCCGGGCCCCGGGCCGGGGCCATCCGCAGCGCGCCGGGGGC